GGGGGGGTAGATGAGTCATTTGATATGGATGGTTGGAGATCTGAAAGTGATCTTGATCACAACAGATCGCGGTGGGATCTTTGAAATGTAATACACTTAATGACGTACTACATGTAGCTGTTGCCATAGTCCCATATGATATCCGAGTATTCAAATTTATCTCGGGAAAAATATTAATATTTGCAACGAGGTAACAAATATTCTTTTGTATATAAAAATAGTTTGTATATTTCTGTATTCTATGCTTGTTAAAAGAATAGAATATGATAATCACAACTATTAACGTTACAGATTAACACACTGTTAACGTCTTTATGAAATGCAAAAATTGTTGCCATTAACATTAAAGACCTCCATGATTAAACAAATTACAGTATAGATCTGTTTTATGGCCGATATTTAACGTTATGCCAGTGTGACACGCTGCAAAGTGCTTTATATAAATGCAAAGAGCTTTTACGAATGGCTATGAAAAATGCAACGCTTGCGATCGAGCGATCAATAAACTTGGATCAGGACAAGGCCTTTTGAAGGGCATATATTGATGGCATGCAGATATATTTTCACATACAGTGATACACACAGGTATATAAATATCTAGAGTTGGGCAACATTAAGCCATTACTATAGTAAATTTATAGTGTATTTTTGTTGTTGCTAATATTGTCTTACATTTTGAGTTAGTTACATCCAACTCTAAGGAAATTTATTATGGACAGCAAATGTTTGCAGTTTGTACATCTGTTTGGTCTCGAATTCATGTAGACGTATGTATATTTGATGATTCCATAGGAATTTGTGGTGTAATCATTTTCACAGCAGTGCAGATGTACTAAAAATGGAAAATATATGGTGCATAACCACAAAATTCCCCTGGGAATTGCTCCTCTCTCAATCTCACTCAGCATTCCAGAGGTGTTCAGTTCCAAATTCCCATGGCTCTTCCAGTATTCCTTAATATTTACATGTACATAGCATTACATCAATGAAGTCTAGTAAGACCTCTTGGACTATTGAGCTACACAAGAAAACAAGTAAGTTCAAAAGTCAAAGTAGCTGGATAGATGTCAGGGCTCAAAATACAGGGTGCGTGTGCACATTTGTGCACCCAAATTTGGAGCTGTGCACCCAATTTTTTTCTGTGGGTGCACTGGTGCACCCAAATATTTTTTGTAGGTTTACGTATGTCAAGATGTTAAATGTAGAGTAGTACTAGTATTCAGCATATTCTTAACATCCAAGTGTCAGAAAGATAGTAAAATCATTTTTGTAGTACCTTTCTTTTGAAATGAAACATAGTTAGTTTTCGCTGATATTCTACTTATTGTATATGGTGCACCCACAGAAATTTTTTTGCACCCAATTTTTTAGGTTGGGTGCACCAGTGTACCTATTCCCAAAAATGAATTTTGACCCCTGTATGTTGAAAACTGTCAGACGTTTCAAAATTCAAGTAGCATTTCACTACTACACTTCTTACTAGTGATTGAACAGGTATTTATTTTGTTAACGTTATATATGTACATACATTTGTCGTGTGGGTAATGTTACATCTGCATACTTGTAGACAACTCAAAACAGCTGCTTTTCTTTACATATATTTGCATATCTCAACCCACTTGGGTTGACCCTTGAGTGTCATGTACCACACCCAAATAAGGATCTAGCTTAATACCGTAAATCTTAAAATGTTTGCGTTGGTTTTATTTTAAGGTTTTTGTAGTGACCTTAATACCACAGCTATAAATTTAGCACACCACCAATATTTGTTTTCAATGTATTACTCCAGTATTAAACTGTAGTACAGAATTTAAAACACTACAAGTACAAAACAGGCAATGCTGTAAAGGCTTTACTTTAATTTCTTGATGGTTTTACAGTGTCAAACCATCAAGAAAGTAAAGCTTTTACAGTATTACAATTGTACATTGATTTGGCAGTATATATTAGTATTATTACTGAGTATCTTATTAAATTATTCAACTGATAGAACTATCATACTTCTATAACTTAAGATATATCATACTTAAATCAAAATACAGCTGACAAAAACTAAGCATTATTTTACATGGGAAAATGTTTTTAAAATTTAAGTTCAAATTTTCTTTTTAGATACCTTTTGGCTGTAAAATATTTGTGTTTCTGAACAAACATGGCTGGCAAGAAGATACTAGACTGAAATAGCTTGGGGTGTTCTATCTTGGTCACACAGAGCATTGCACTAGGCAGTTTTAAATTTGATACTTCTTGGTATTCCCCCAACCCTACATGGAACTAAAACAACCCAAATGGGGAGGCAGTATTTCATATAGCTGGTCTGTAGTTTGTAAGGCCTAATATGTAGAGATAGCAGGTATACATCAGAAATACATTTGCACCTGGCATAGCTGCTATATTTATAGTATATAACCCCAGTCAGGGCTTGAAATACTGGGTGCATGTGCACCTTATTGCACCCAAATTTGGAGCTGTGCACCCAGTTTTTTTTCTATGGGTGCAGCAGTGCACCCAAATATTTTCTTTGGTTTATGTATGTAAAGATGTTGAATGTATAGTAGTATACAGCATATTCTTAGCAGTGTCAGAAAAATAATAAAGTTATTGCTGTACATGTATTGTACTTTTCCGTAGAAATGAAACATAATTAGTTTTTTCTGACATTCTACTTATTTGATATTATATGGTGCACCCAAAAACATTTTTGTACACCCAATTTTACAGATTGGGTGCACCTATTCCCAAAAATGAATTTCGAACCCTGTTGATCGGTGACTGGTGAAGCGCATATGCAGGACGTGGCTTTTTCAGCCCAGGATACTCCTATACTACATGTAACTCCTATACCAGACAACTGAGAAATACAGTAGCTGCTATTGACTAGTATTGTATGTCATCATTCTCAGTAAGTTACTAGTATTAGGTATCATCAGCCAATGTATTTAGCTTTATTCATCTCTCACAAGAATACATATAGGTGCAGGTAATTCAAGAAGGGAAGGTTCAGTCACCACATATGACCTCTGACCCTCCTGTGGTTGTTGTGGCTATGTGACAACACATCAGCTGACTGAGCATTCAGTCGGCCTTTAACGCTGTCCATAATGACTGAATAAGCAGCTTTGTGCAGCCGAACAACGACCTTCAGAGTAACGACCTTTGGGAGGGCTAGTACTAGTAGTAGGGTGGCCATTTTTATTGTTGTTAGGTGGTTAAAAAGTGGACATTGTCGGATATATTGTCCTTTCAAATCCTAGAGAAGAACTCCAAACATTACTCTGTAAATAATTCCCTTAACTGTAACACAAATTTGTAATGACTTTTCTAGAGAGGTTGCCGTGAAAATAAGACCACCATCAACATTTCATGATTTACAGTAATTGTCATATTCCATAGTTATATATTATAACAAAAGTACCAATCTGAACCATGCGCCAACCAGCACCAAGAGACCACGTCTAGTGAGATATTAGACATTAACAAGGATAACAACAACAACTGTACAAGTCATGTGGTTTCTATCCGATCGTAACTGTAAGAGAAGTAACACTGTCCATATGTGCAGATGATATTCCTGTGGTGCATATTTTGAGGACATATAAGTCCCATAATAAGGCAGTTACAATGTACCAGCCTATTTATAACATGATGGATTATCTATTTCCAACTTGTCATCAGTACCCCCAATTATGTTCCCTGTTTTCAGCCTGTGGGGTCTTGTAATATTGATATCATATTCTCTCCAAGCAGAGGTTTGGGTTTTGGGTTATTTTACTTGTATGTTATAAGCCAAAACCCAAACTGCTTGCAATTGGAGAGTACCCTGACAGTAGTGCTGTGTACCTTAAACCCACATTTAGGTTCAGGTCCGGATTAAGTCCAGAGGTTTAGCTTCAGTTCCGGACCTAAACCCATGGCATATACAAAATTGCATGTTGGCAACCTTGCAATGTTGTTTGGGCAAAACTGTGGCCACACAACATGGAGGCACACTCAATGATGCCCGATGGCAATGTTTTCTTCATTTTGCAGCACAGATTTTTCAATCTATGGAAGGTTTTAGGTGGTTTGGAAAGAAAAGGGGGTAATGACATGTTTTTTTTTTTTTAATAAGTCTGGAATCGGTTCTTTGACTTTGAGATTTTTTGGATTTGAACCTAAACAGCACTAATCAGCACAGTCACCTGTCTACCAAAAGATGAAACCAGGTACGTCTGTGTCACTGAATTAAGGTCATGTTGCTAACTTTATCCTTGACTGGTTTGGGGACAAGGTTTCAGCTTCACTAACATGCATACATGTATATTGAGGCTCAGGACATTTTGTACTCTTCAAATTGTACAGCATGTGCATTTTAGACATCAGCCACTGGGTTTTAAATGACAACTGTTGATTATTGATTAGTAATTTGCTGGATTATTT